AGAGAAATAGCTGAGCAGTCTGGATCACAAGCAAGAAAGTAACATTAGCTGCATAGTGGAGATCTTGAGAGACCCATCAGCCTCCTAAATAGCCAAGAAATTTCAGTAAACTTGTCTTCCTTATTTTCTTGCATAAATGGCTCTGCCTCTGGGGGGGAATGGGACAAGTGATAAGTCCTGAACATTTTCTGATGAGGTGCTACTGAACTGGCTCGCTATTTTTAGCTGCATCCCAAACATTTAGAGCAGTAGCTTTGTGTCCGGATTAATGAACCAAGTCTGAGCAATCAGGCTCACAAATGAGGGGGTGGATCTCTTCTTTTCTTTGCAGTCAGAGTAATAACAGTCTGGATAATTCAGAGAAGAACATTTGGACCTGGAAAGGTTGGGGGTTTTTTAGTCACCTGTGACCTGAACAACAAGATGCTATTAACAAAAAGTTAAGGAATGTACAGAATTGTACATGCCCCCCAAAAAGGGTAACTTATGAGCCACTGCTCTACCCAAATTACCTTTCTGCTGCCAGGCTGTGAGAAGGGGGCGGGAAATGAATGAAAAGCCCTGGCCAAATAAGTGCACCTACCTTGTTCCCAGAGACTGCCAAATTGAGGCTCTGGTGGACCACCAGAGGGAGTGAGCTTCAAATGCTAGGGCCTTCCCCTCAGAGAGCTCTGGCCTGGGTCCTGGAAAATATAGTCTGACTGAGGTGTTCATGCTGCCTAGTCCTGTCTTAATTGCTGTGATGGTCTGGGGTGAATTACAGGCCATTCAGGGCTCTGAAAGTTGTAAGCAACATCTAAAATTGTATCTGCAAATCAACAGGTAGCCAGAGCAGAGATCAGCAGGAGCAAAGGAATGTGTTCATAATAGCTTACCCCATTCAGAAAGCAGGCTTCTGGTGACATTGAAGGGTAGTCCTAAGAGTATGGTACAGCAGTTGAGCTTAGAGACGGCAAAGTCATGGGATAATGATTGTGAGGCCTGTGCTAGAGAGGAAAGAGAGGTAGGAAAGATGGGTAGCCAAAGATGAGGGAGAAAAGGCAGCACAGACCCCAGTAGCTATCAGAGAATTGCTAGCATTGCACGAAAGCTTATGCTCAAATAAATTGGTTAGTCTCTAAGGTGGCACAAGTCCTCCTTTTCTTTTTGCGAATACAGACTAACACGGCTGTTGCTCTGAAACCAGTAGAATGCAGAGACTATAAAGAGTCTGTGGCAATAGGCAGGTGTATCTATTGTGGCAATAGGCAGGTGTATCTCAATAGATAGAATAGATGCTGCCTCCACCAATTCAACTAAAACCGTGCCCCAGCAATAAACACCTACCACCGTCTGATCCAGGTAAAGTCAAATCCAGGTTTCTTTCATCCAGAGCTGCCTCTCATACAGTGGGAGAGTAATAAGATTGTAGAATTCAGTTGAATCCAATATTTTACTACCTATGTTTACACCGTGTGTTTTAAGAATGATCACCTACATTTACTGATCTAGGAAGACACTTTGGAATGATAGATGGTGTTATGTATGATATCAGCACTGCAGAGCAAATATAGGAAATAACTCAAGAACCATTTATAGACAAACTCCTAGGACATGCTTCTCAGGGTAGAGGTGCAGGGGCAGAGGATCCCCGTCCATGGCCCTCAGAAGAACTCTGCTTTGAAATAAGCCCCTCAAGTTGCTACCCTACTTTTAACTGAGAATCTCCTCCCTGCAGCTCTGTGGAACTCGCACACAGTCTTCAGAAAGGCATTTGAAATGCTGTATCTGGCCGCATTCTGCAAGCTGATCTTCCCTTTGTAAAGTGAAATGCCGTCACACACCGTTCTAATGTCAGCTGATGACTCCCATGCCATGACTGGGCTTCCTCAAAACAGCCATGTAATGACTTTTTGTCTAATCACTGAAGGAGATGTAATGTTCCAAACAAATACTTGCACTCAGGGCTTTCATACAGGGTACTGTGGTTAGGAAACTGCGCCATAAAGTTTTCATTCTATTCCAGCTTCTTTATTTCTTCCTACTTGGTGTCCAGGAGAAGCTTTTTACCAGAAGTACTATTCAACATGAAGGTCACTAATATGACTCCCAGCTGAAATGCTGAACACAGTCCACTTTCTAGCACAAGCAAACATGTATTTTGCTGCTAGCTGGGATACCTACCCTATAAATCATTTTAAATCATCCCATTTATTTTGAGGATACAAGGGATTTGACGGTATTAAAAATGTAGAATTGTTAAACTTGATTACAGAAGTCTGGGCTGGAAACTAAGTCTATTATTCCACTGCAAAATGAAGTTTGGGTCTACAGGGATGAATTTGAAACTGTCCCTTAAAATACCATAAATGTCTAATCATGCTGTGTAATTATGAGAAATAAAATTAAAAAGGGTGCTGAAAGATGTTTAGGTGCAGTTTATTCATAAAATCCGGAACTTGTAGCTGTAATTGAAGCTGGGTTTAGCTAATCACTTGTTCAGGCTTTAAAAAAACAGCCTCATTTTTGAGCCATTCAGATCATTAAAAGCACCTTTATAAAAAATTTCAGTGACGTTTTCATGTAAACCTTCCCAAACGCTCCAGCATTGTGCTTGTGCCTTGTAACCAGAAAGTGAAATTAACTATGAACAAAAGTGAAACTGGCTAGTCTTGTTTCATCATTCATGCAGGATGTTGTGCAAATACATAGTGAAAAGATTTTTTTCAACATCTTTTAAAATAATCTAAATGTAATAATATTAGGTAAAACTGGTTTGTTTTCAATGTATTTGTCTTCAGAGATTATAAGGCCAGAAGGAACCATTGTGATCATCTAGTCTGACCTCCGGCATAAAACTTCTGAATTAATTCCTCTTTGAACTAGAGAATATATATTAGAAAAACCTTTAATTTTGACTTTATAATGTCCAATGATGGAGAATTCACCACAGACCCTTGGCAATGCCAGAGTCCCCTTTAAACATATAGTTGGGATATACAAATCGATAGCAGCAGTGCTCACAGAATAGGTGTTACTCTTTTCTGCTTAAAAGCCCAGGAGAACCACACACACACACACACTTGGCCTGATGAGAAATTGAAAACTGCCCTCAATAATTACTTGCATTTCTTAATTTTAAAATGAAATGATAAAATTTGACACTTTTCACAGAAAAAAAGCTGTTTAAAAGTGTAATGCTTATTTTAAGGACTAAGGAAAAGGCTCGTGTTTTACTTTCTTCTTTGGCAAATGCACCAGCATAAAGGGTGCCGCTGGCCCTGTGCCCTCTCAGTTTCTTCTTACCGCACATGATGGTTGCTGGAATGACCCTTTTTGCTGTACCAAGGTTGCTTTCCCAATGGTTTTGGACTTTCTCTGTTCATATTTTATATAGTTATTGCAGTCAGTGTATAGAGTTAGTTAGTGTATATAGTACTGTTAGTAATTGTCCCTGTCGTCGAGAGACTTTTCGCCCAAGGGCTGGGTATGCCCTGGTCCCTGGGCTTCAAGCTGTGTACCTCATGCGGCAAGCTGATGTCAGTGAGTGACCTGCATGCTAGCTGCCTAAAGTGGCTGGAGGAGTCTCACATTAAAGAGAAGTGCCAGATCTGCAGAGACATCAAATCCCGCACGAGAAAGGATAGTGACATTCAGCTGAAGGCCTTTCTTATGGAGGTGGCCCTCAGATTGGCCTCGGAGCTGAGCCCCTCCGAATCAACGCTGAGAATCAACGTTGACAACCATGCAGAGTGCTCCCCTGGCACCGTGCTCTTCCCAGCACTGCTCCCCATCCCTGGTGCTGAGGAAGAGGCATAAGAAACAACATACTGAGAGAGGGCGTTCTCCCATGCAGAGGAGGAACAAGAGGGGAGCAACTAGCATAGTGAGACCTGCATCAGGCCACTCATCCTCCCCAGAGCCTCTGATGACGCCATTGACTCTGCCTAGATGCTGAGTCCAGTACGGGACCTGCCACCGTCTCTCGGTAGCAGCCATGGGGTCAGGCGTCTGCTGGCCCCTTCGATCCCGGAGGCTTTCCAAGCCGCAAAGGCCCCGCTGCACCTCCCAATTCCGCAATATCCTCCAATATCCTATATTCTCCATATCCTCAAGGCCCCTTGTCAGCCAAGGCGACTGAGGACAGAAAGGAGCAAGGTGCAGCGAGCTCCACCATGGCACCGAACACCACGGCACCATCCAGGGCAAGCCCTCCATGATCCCGAGGCAGCAGTTCCCCGGCACTGCCCAGAGGCAGAAGCTGGTACTGCACCACTATGGTCTCCAGAGGAAGAATCCGCTTCAGACTCTGGTGGGGAATCCTTCGCTCCACCCAAAACTTATCAGTACCCAGCCTACACACCAGACTTTGGTGCCAGCCCTCTGGTCCCTGGCCAATGCAGTGGCAGTACTGGAATTCTTGGGGTTTTCCCCCGGTACTGGTCACTCCTTCCCACCTCTCATACTCGGTGGTGTCAGAAAGGTGAGCTCCCGTCTCTTCCTATCTGGCAACAGACCTGACTCTGATACCAACCCTGGTGCCGATGTTTAGGAAGTGGCCCCAATGGACGTGGTGGAAGGAGATGAGGAGCAGGGAGCCCTGCCTCTGGCACAGGCCTCCTCCTCATCCCCAGACGAGGCAGTCGCAGGCCCTAGTAACCCGCTCCCCAGGAGCTCCTGAAAAGGGTTGCTGTGAACTTGAGTCTGGAGGTTGAGGAGCTTAAGGGGTCAGAAGACAGCCTAATCTACATGCTAGCTGCAGCTGCTCCCTCCAGAGTGGCCTTGCCTGTTAACGAAGTGGTGATGGGCCCTGTCAGAACACTGTGGCAGACTCCTTCTCTGCCCCCCCCCAACACCTCAAAAAGGGCAGAGAAGAAATACTATGTCCCAGCCAATGGGTTTGAGTACCTTTATTCGCACCCACACCCTGGGGTCCCTGGTAGTGTCGGCGGCAAATGAGCAGGACAGACAGAGGCAGTCGAGTGCTAACCCCAAATATAAAGAGGCCAAGAGACTGGACCCATTTTTGAACGTAAGGTTTATTTGACAGATAGTCTCTAGTTACGTATCTCCAACCAGCAGGCACTGCTGGGGAGCTACAATTTTAATCTGTGGGACTCATTGTCCAAATTTAAGGACTCCTTTCTGCAGGAGTCAAGGCAGAAGTTCACAGCTATCCTAGAGGAGGGCAAAACTGTGGCGAGGACCTCCCTCCAGGTGGCTCTGGATGCAGCCGACTCAGCAGCCAGGACTATGGCATTGGCAGTCACCATGAGGCACTGTTCATGGCTCCAATCCTCTGGCCTCCCTCATGAAGAGCAGCAGTCCACCCAGGACCTCCCCTTTGAGGGCACCTCCCTCTCGGAACAGACCGACTCGAAGCTTCACAGCCTCAAGGATTCAAGGGCCAAGCTTTGTTCCCTGGGCCTTTATGTGCCCCCAGATTCCAGGAAGTACTTTAGGTCCCAGCAGCCTCCCAGGGCAGGAGCCCTACAAAAGAAAAGGGAAGGGTTATAAGCTACGCCAACCCCTTCCTCCTACCTCAGCCTTCCAGTTGGGTTCTCACAGATAACCCGGCTGGGTGAGGCAGACCTTTTGGAGGTATGCCTGAGGGCAATATACCAGTCTTAACTCCATATCCATCTTCCCTTTTGTTATTGGACCACCTGTTGCCCTTCAGCTGAATATGATCATATATAACATCAGATTGTTCGGTACTGAGTACGGTAACAGTTACAGCCTCCGATTTTCATCCACGCCTCCATCCCACCCCTCGTCCCCATCCCTCTTCAGGGACTCTTCTCACGAGCAGCTTCTCGTCCAGGAGGTGCAAGCCCTCCTATGTGTGGGGACTGTAGAGGAGATTCCTCAAGACTTGAGAAGGAAAGGGTTTTACTCCTGATATTTCATAATCCAGAAGGCCAAGCGGAGTGGGAGGGGGGTCTAATGGCCCATCATGAACCTGTGTCACCTCAACAAATATCTCAAGAAATTGACATTCTGTATGGTCTCCCTGGACTCCATCATTCCCTCCCTGGATCCAGGAGACTGATACGCTGCCCTCAACTTAAAGGATGCTCATTTCTACATCTGTCTTCCACAGACACAGAAGATTTCTCACGTTTGTAGTAGGTCAATGCCACTAACAATTCACTGCTCTTTCTTTCAGCCTATTGGCATCTCCACAGGTCTTCACAAAGTGTATGGCCATGGTAGCAGCCTTCCTCAGGTGTTGAGGTGTAGAAGTCTACCCATACCTCTACGACTGGCAGATCAAAGGGCAGTTGCAGGCTCAGGTGCAGTGCATCATCAGTACAATCCAGGCCACCTTCCAGGCACTGGGTCTGTTAATAAACAAGCAGAAGTCAACCCTGGTCCCCATTAAGAGAATAAAGTTTATCAGGGCAGTGCTCGACTTGACCCAGCCAAAGCCTCCCTGCCAGAAGCTTGATTCCAAGCTATATTGACCTGATTTCCAAGGTCACGATTCACCCAATTCACGGGTCTGCTCGGGTCTACCTCAGACTACTGGGATACATGGCAGCATGTACCTACATGATGAAGTACACAAGGCTATGCCTCAGACCCCTCCAGATATGGCTGACATCAGTCTACTCCCCAAGCAAACACCACCTGGACTCAATATTCATGATTCCACCTCTAGTTCTCACTTTGCTGGCCTGTTGGAGAGACCCAGGATCCATAATGGAAGGGGTACCCTTTGCTACCCTTCAGCTATTGACAACCCTAGTCTCAGACATGTCAGACCTGGGGTGGGGAGCCCACCTCAGTAGTCTCAGGACCCAGGGCCTTTGGTCCCAGGAAGAACTCTCCCTGCATATAAATGTCAGGGAGCTCAGGGCAGTACACTTGGCTTGCCAGTTGTTCCTTCCCCAGATCTCAGACAAAGTGGTGCAGGTCCTGACGGACAACACTGTACCAAAATTTTGCATCAGTGTTTTACATCAACAAGCAGGGGGGCTCGATCTTCAGCCCTGGGCCAGGAGGCCCTTCAGCTGTGTGATTTCTGTGTGAAACACGCCATTCACCTCAAGGCGTCAAATCTCCCCAGAGCCCAATACGCATTGGTAGATCATCTCAGCAGATCTTTTTCCTCTCTCCACGAGTGGTCTCTTCACCCACAGGTCATCCATGTCATCTTCCAGAGGTGGGGGCCTCCACAGGTGGACCTGTTCACCACCAGACAGACCAGGAAATGCCATAAGTTCTGTTCACTGCACAGTCACAATAGGCTCCCTCTCCGATGCCTTCCTGCTCTCACGGGCAGACAGCCTGCTGTATGCCTTCCCACCGACCCCCTTGGTTCACAAGGTCCTTCTAAAAATCAAATGGGACAAAGTGAAGTTTATCCCAATAGCACTGGCAAGGCCATGCCAGCATTGGTTCAGCAAGCTTCTAGACCTCTTTGACTCACATTCCCATTCCTCCCAGACTTGATTTCACAAGACCACAGCCAGTTGCTTCACCCTAACCTCACCTCCCTGCACCTGACTGCATGGTTGCTGAGTGGCTGAACCCTGAAGAGCAGGCCTGCTTGGATCAGGTTTGACGGGTCTTGCTAGATAGTAGAAAGCCTTCTACCAGGGCTACCTACCTGGCCAAGTGGAAACACTTGACTTGTTTGGCCTCTAAACGAAATCTCTCTCCATCCTGATCTTCTCTTCAGTCTATCTTGGACTATCTGCTCCATCTAAAGCATCAGGGTCTGGCTCTCTCATCTATTAAGGTTCACTTGGCAGCCATCTCCGCCTTCCACCCTCCACTGAATGACAGATCAGTGTTCTCCTGTGAGATGACAGTAAGGTTTCTGAAGAGGCTGGAAAGACTCTATCCTCAGGTTCATGATCCAATCCCCCCATGGGACTTAAACCTGGTCCTGGTGAGGCTCATGCCCCCCCCCCCCCCCGAGACATTAGCGTCATGCTGCCTGCTGCTTCTCTCTTGGAAGGTCACCTTCCTGGTGGCAATCACCTTGGCCAGAAGAGGCTCTGAGGTCAAAGCCATGATGTCGGAACCCCCTTATAAGGTGTTCTTCAAGGACAAGGTCCAGCTGCGCCCTGACCCGGGCTTCCTGCCAAAGGTGGTGTCGCAATTCCACAACAACCAGGACATTTTTCTACCTGTCTTCTTCCCAAAACCTCACGAGTCCACTGAGGAACATCTGTTTCATACGTTGGATGTTAGATGGGCCCTCCCTTTTATATTGAGGGAATGAAGTCCTTCAAGAAGTCCACGCAGCTCTTTGTAGCAGTAGCGGAAAGGATGAGAGGGCTACCTTTTGTCATCCCAAAGAATCTCATCCTGGATAACGGCCTGTATTTGAACTTGTTACAAGCAGGCGAAGGTTCCACGTCCTGCCATTGTGACTGCTCATTTCACAATGAGCCCAGGGTTCATCAGCAGCGTTCCTTGTGCAGGTATCAATCCAGGACATCTGCAGGGCCACAACCTGGTCATCGGTGCATACCTTCACGTCCCGCTATGCCATCACCCAACAGGCTTGAGATGACGCTGGTTTCAGAAGAGCAGTATTACAGTCAGCATGTCCATGAACTCTGCACCCACCTCCAAAGGTCCTGTTTGAGAGTCACCTAGCGTGGAATAGACATGAGCAAGCACTCAAGAAAGAAAACTTGGTTACTAACCTTCTGTAGCAGTTCTTCAAGATGTGTTGCTCTGGTCCATTCCATGACTCGTTCTCCTACCCCTCTGTCAGAGTTACTGGCAAGAAGGAACTGAGAGGGTGCTGGGTCGGCAGGGCCCTTTACACTGGCGCATATGGCCAGAGGGTGGTAAAGCTGGCCCAATGGATACCACTGAGGTAAAAATCTCCAGCAATTGTGCATGCGCCATGCACACACCTGGCATGGAATGGACATGAGCAACACATCTTGAAGAACAAGACTTATGGAAGGTTAGTAACAGTTTTTTTCATTTGTTAGTGATGGGAAGAAATGAGAAACTAATAAGCAGTGCTTTGCACCTTCAAAGTGCTTCACAAGTCACTCTCATACCACACCTGGTAAGTCAGTTGTGTAAGAATGATCCCGATTTTACATCTGGGAAACTAAATCAACCAGGCCCAAATTGCTGTTGTACTGGTGCAGAGACACCCTGCCCCCTTTCCCCCCCCCCCCCAAGGAGAATGCTTCCCCTAGCTTGTGGCTGGTGAGGGCTTGCTTGGCCTTCCTCACAGGTTAGAGTAGCCCTGAGGCTGGCGCTGACCTGTATCCCTAACGCAATGCCCTCTAGGAGCCAGTGTACTAACGCAGAATAGCTGGAATGTAGGCACACTCTGGCTCCACTGCAGGGAGCCCCTCCACTGGGGGGGATGGGACAGAGCTGGCTTTACACCTTCCAGAGAGGTCTCCTACATCAGGATCATTCTCTAAAGGGAGTTTACAGCCCTGTAACCTGTGCAAAGGGGACATAGGAGATAGATGAATTTCCCCCCTGCTCCCCAGCCCTCCTCCCCCTTAGACAGGATGCCTCCCACCCATATGCAATCCTGGAGCACCTCCTCCCTCCAATTGCCCTACTTGAGGCAGGGTCCATGTCCCAAGCTCACTTCCCCACCGAAGCAAGCCCCAAGGCCTACCCTGCACCCCACCCTCTGGGGCACTGCCCGATACCCACCTCCATTAAAAGAATCGCAATTGCACTGAAGCCTACTAAAGTGACGACAAAGATTCTTCAGTATGAAAAACTGACCCCAGGTGACTTTTTTATGGAGTTTGCTTAAAATGCTACCTGGAAACACCAAAACTCTCTTCTCCTTTTACAGAAGCTTTTCTGACTTAAATGAGAAAAAAAAGTCTATTCTGAAAATATCTTTCTCTCGCGTATATGCCTTGATCCTAGATATCAACCCCTTATGTCAGAAGTCCAGGCAAAATCTCATTTAACCCGAACGTGGATGCAAATGGAAATGTTTCAGGCAGCAGTCTAAAATAATGATGTCACAGAATGAATGTCTGAAACTGAAAGATCAGATGATGAATCGGAACGTCTTATAAAACTCATTAAACCTCTGAAAAGATAGTGAGATCGGGATGAAGGAAAGCCCAAAAAAGATTGGGCCAATTCTTGATTAATTTGAAGATGAGCCAGGTCTCAGTAAGACAGAAAACATATTAACTGATGGGGATCCATCATAAAAATGTCATGCTCGAGCTGTATCAACGGGCAAAAATTGTATGGGCAGTTGCAGGAACACAAATGAGTTTTTGAAAGAACACTTTCAGGCTTCAAATGTATCCTTTCGTCACAGAGGTCCAATATGACAGACCAAATATTAGATGCTTTTTTAGTTCACTCAAACAAATTGTTCATAAAAAAATTGTGTTTGATAACACTAAAACATTAGGAAAACTCATGTAAAATTAAAAAATGGTCAAAAATCAAAAAAGTTTCATTTTTTTTTCAACTCTCTCTTTCGAATTTACTTCCACTAAGACTGAAATTTGATTTGAACCAGTTCACACTGGTAACCGAACTATGTTTGGGGGGTTTATGGGTGGCTTGATCTGGAACTGAACCCAAAGACACTGAATGCAACTGAAGGCAAACCTGAACTGAACCAAAACAAATACCTGTTCAGCTCCCTTTTAGCAGCCACCTTCGTCTTTGAGCTGGAAGTTCTGCCCGCAGGAGGAAGTATACAGTGTTCACATGGAGCATCACTTGCTGGGATTTGTCATCTCTGCAGAGGCAAACCTCTGGTTTAAATTAAAGAAGAGGGCCGCCCTGGGCTGCATTCAGCTCTGTGGGGGTTGTCTCTTGGCCACCCCATCCTGCACATAATCACTTGTGAACTGCATCCATCTCACCAGCACAGAGGGAACGTGGTCATAGTAGTTGCTGTATTGCTCTCTAACAAATGATTTAATGCTGGGACATCACAGGGATGGTTCTGTGAAGCGTTAGAACACATGGGCCTGATGTGCAGAGGTGCTCTGCCCAGGTAGGTCCCACTGACTTCAGCGGGCATTCTGGATGTTCAGCACTTCTGAAAATCAGGCCCACATAGTATATTGGCTCCTCTGCCTGTCCTGTGATTTGATATGAGCAGGAGGCGTCTCTCCCCTCAGGGTGCCAGGCTACAACACTAGGAGGCCTACCTCTGGCCAGACAGGCTCACTGGCCCTCACTCAGCCCCACTGCCTGATGCTTTGACATCACATCTGGCCTTCCTGCGGCCTGTGCCTCTGAGTAATTTCTGAGGGAGCAGTTTCTGGGAGCTCCTCCATGACACCCAGATCTGGAAGCTCCATTACATTTAGCTCTTCCTATTTTTAAGTTAAAGCTGACTAACCGCCCACCCCACCCTGCAGAAGTACCACAGGCTTCCAGTTACCACTGCTCCAAATATTTATTCATACACCCGCGTGCACATCCCCACTTAGGGTGACCAGATGTCCCGATTTTATGGGAATAGTCCCGATATTTGGTGTCTGTGTCTTATATAGGCGCCTATTACCCCCTACCCCCATCCTGATTTTTCACACTTCCTCTCTGGTCACCCTATCCCCAAACCATGCACAAAGTTTTCACAGCAGCAAACACGGGCAGGCTCCAAAGATTGCTCACACTGGAGCTTGCAGGGCTAGGAATTCAGGGACCGGGGAACCTTGTTTTGTTTTATTAAATCTAATACACTATTTCTATTTTACAGTGTTCTAGTCATAACATGAGGAAAAATAAACTCTGAAGTTGAGAGAAAGGGAGCAGCCAACTATGGAGCCCTGATTCCACCTTGCAGCTGAGCAGGAAACCCCCAAGTAAAAGCCCTGGGCTAACCCCTGCTCTGGTACACCTATGTTTGTGGCAGTGTAAGTGATTGGCCCTGTGATTGGAACAGAGGCCATGTCTACACTACAACATTATGTTGACCTAACTTTCGTTGGCCAACAGCCACTGCGGTTTTTACATCGTTTGTGCACATGAGGCTCCATGGGTTGGCAGTGCACGTCTTCCCAGGAGCGCTTGTGTCGATTGTACTATCAGGGTGGAGTATTGTGGGATGGCTCCTGAAAGCCAGCAACAGTCGAGGGGAGTAACACAGTGTCTACACTGACGCTACGTCAACCTAGCTCCATCGAGCATGACTGTGCACAGGAAGGGGGTATTATTAAATTGGTGTAGAGAAGCACTTGTGCTGGTTGGAGCCAAATGTAAGTAAAGACGCTTCTACAGCTACCTTGACACAAGGCACCGTACATTGGCCTACCCCTGTGGTGCAGAGCAGGCCTGAGTTAATGATGCTGTGGCTGCGCAAGAAGGAATAGACCCCACCCTCTGCTCCCTCCCTCCCAGTTGTGCTGGCCCTAGGAGCCAGAGGCAGGGCAGAATTCCTTTGCCACTAAGGAGGCTCTGGATGCCCAGAGGGCAGGTCTGGCAGTACAGAAGAGCCAGTTTCACAGTGCACTTTGCACTGGAGAGGAGTCTCCTGGGGGCCTATGAGAGACTGTGGCTGGGGCCTTGCTCTCTGCTGCATTCACCTGTGAGGCCTAAGGAGCAGCGAGTCCTGCAGGAAAGGGGGAGGAGAGCAAGCCCGTCCTCTGCCCAAGCTGCAGCTCCCTGATGTCCAGATGCTGGCAGCTGCCCCCCATGTGCCCCACCATCACACACAGGCTGCAGCAGAGCCGGACCATGGATGTGAAATTTTGACCATCTTAAAAAGGAGAAATCTTGGCCCCAATTTTCTCACCCCCACCCCTTTTCACGGCCTGTAAGACAGTTTCTGTGCTGATGGCCTTGGAGCTCCGAGCCCTCATTCCCAGACAGACACCCGCAGGAGACAGGCCAAATGCCCCCAGCTGCTTATTGCAGCATGATCCCACTTTAACCCATCACGTGTTTCCTAGCACACTCCGGCGAGGACAAAAGGCATTCTTCCAAATACAGCTGCTGCAAACCTTTGGGTCTCTCTGGCCCTGCCGCCACCCCCCACCCTCCATTAGCCCTGATCAAAAGAAATGGTCAGTGTCTAAATCATAATTCAACTAGAAGGGGAGGAAAATGACATTCTTTCAAAGGAGGGCAACAACAAGCTGCTGTCTCTAAATTGCCAGATTCGACTTCCCCAAACACGTGGGAGTTCACTTCTTCTTTCAGGAAGAAATAGGAGGGATTTGCCTCTGTGGAGCAACCTAGAGAGACAATCCCCCACCCGTGCCCAGCAGAGGAAAGGTTTGCTTTCTCGTTGCTATTGCAATTCGACCCTCGTTCCCACCTTTCAACAGACATAAACAAGCTGGGCACAGTGCAGTGTATCGTTCTTCTTCACACCAATACGGTGGCCACACTCTGGTTTTACACTATACCAAAGTTACAGGAATTGCTGAGCCTACGACACTGGGATTTCTCTTTAGGACTCTCGCGATTTCCCCCCCCCAAAAAACAAACAAACAAACAGCCCCATACAATATGCTCCTTGTTGATACTGTGTCCCATCACCTCATTATCATCTCATCCCTGGCATTCAATAGTGGCCAAAGGATCAAAGGGGTCAGTTTGTTTAAGGTGTAGGTGATTCCAGCCCGCAATAGCCAACCTCCCCGGAGCTCCGCCGGAACAGCTGCTCTGCCCCTGCTCCTAGGTCTTCTGGGGGAATGTTTTTGCAGCAGGAAGTGTTTGTGAAATTTAACAGGCCAATTTCTTTACCTTTCCGTGAAGGCTTTTTCGATCCCGTTGCTTCAGACGCTATTTTGTCACAGTCTCACTCTTTTGCAACCTCTTATTGAGCCGCAGTTTGCTTCCCACACAAAACCCCCTTGAGTTTTCCAGGTTTTGCTCCTCACTCCTTTGCCCCAAAGGACAATCTTTGTGTTTATTGTCTTTTAGGCAAAGCTAACAAGTGTGTCAGCATCTCCCTGCTCTGCACAGAGACTTTTTGCATGAGTGCTCAGAATCCGAGCAGGGCCCCGCGGCAGCCGACTGGCAGCAACGCTTTTGTCTCCTTTCATCTCTTAATATGGATTTGAAGGTACTAGGAGATGTTCGGCTTCCTGTTTAGCAGAAGCGCTGCTTGTTTCGCTGGGTGGTTGGGTTTTTTTTTTTTTCCAGGGAAGGGAAGGAGGGGGGAAGTCTGGGTGTGGGGGAGAGAGTAGAAAACGTTGGCTCTGTCCATGGTCAAAGTAATTCAGCTGTAATCCCCCTTTCTCTTCCTCTCCTGGAGCTCTATTCATATTCTAATCACAGCTTTTCCTTCCCTAAACCAGCCACTTTATCAGAGCCCGAGCTTTGCACTTTTACTTCCACTTCCAGCACCTAGAACCGCCTTCAGAATAAGCAACTTTCTTTGCAGTCCAGCTCCCTTGCACCCCTAAAGGGAACCCTACAACGTTGTCCTAAAACCCGCAGGTAACATTTTGTTCTTTTCATGTACCCCGGAGAGCACACACAACCGTCCCTTCTTTCTTGGAAGCGCCGCCTGGAGCTTCCCTTCTCTTCCAGACTTGCACGTCAAGTGCATACAACTTGTACAACGTGCCACCGCTCTTTACAACACATGCAGTTTATGTGCAGTCCCTGGCGAGCCAAGCAGAAATGCCTTGGGGTGTGTGTGTGTGTGTGTGTGTGCCAGGGACACAGAACTGGACCGTCAGCTCTGTTCATGGGCAACTTTCTCCGTCACCCCTCCCCAGCCAAACTGAGCTTGCAAGACCTGGGGGGAAGGCAGCACACAGCCTCCAACTCCATGTGTGTCTGGGAATGAGCCCAATTTAAAGCTCGGGGAGGGGTCGATCGATGGGGTCTTTACACACACCGCAGACCCCGCACCCAGATCTCCTGCTTGTTTGAAGAGCTGAGCCAAATTTGAGCTCAGGCTGTAATGAACCAAAGACTGGGGGGGGGGGGGGAGGGAGTGGAAAGGCCCCTGGAACTTTAAATCAGAAGAACGTTTCTAATGCTCTAACCGAGGAGGGAAGTCGAAGTGTTGGGATTGCGTAGATCTAAGGCCCCCCTTTTTGGAGGAAAGCTTTTCTTATTCAAAACAGCATCACAATGGGCTTCACATTGAGCCTTGCCACATCCCCATCTGACTAGCAGCCATTCATCAGGCTGGCTGGCCTATCAATGACATTTCTCCCATCAGGGCTCCTATAAAATGATGCTTTTTCCCATGAAACATCCGCAAACATTTTGACGGGTCTGGCTTTGCCCTGCTGGATTACTGAGTGTCCCTCTCTCTCTCTCTCTCTCTCTAACCTCCCCCCCTCCCCTCTCTCTGTTCTCGGTGTGCATCTCTGAGCTAGGGGATCTCCAGACCCCGGGACTTTGGGGCTTCTGTACTGCCCATGGGAAGAGCATGCATTGTGGGTTACTGGAGGAACCCGACATGGATTCCACAGGTTAGTCCAAGACTCGAGACAACAGCCTCCCATTGCAGCCAAGTGGAGACTATTCAACTTGACAGTGGAGGAAATATACTAGAGTCTAATAGGATGATAAGTTACCCGGCTTCTAATCAAACGTGCATTGGTGTGTGTGTGTGTGTGTGTGTTTTCAGTTCACCAGAAAGAGAGCCCCAAAAAGTTGTGTTAAAAATAGACAGGGCTGGCTGGAGCCCGAAGTTTGCCCTTGCAGCTGAGGTGCAGGCTGTATTTTTCCTCGGGATATCGGCAAACTAATTCCCTCTCTGCTTTCAGTTTTAGGCGGTTGACTAGATTTGAGCGGAGCCTTTCCAGGGCAATACATTACGGTATTAATAAGGAAGGGGTTGTTTTTTTTTAATGACCTCATCCAAATGGCGTCTTGTGGGAATAGCTAGAATTCAAGCCGGTTTGGAAAGCGAGTCCCTCGCTGGGGTGGACTGGATGAGTAGGAAGTTTTTCTGATTTTTTAAAAAATTCAAGCCAGGGTTAGGTGTAAAGACCTTGGTTGGAATGAAACGGAGACCGTGACTAACCTCTTCCTAACCGCGGCAAGGAAAGAAAGCCCCAGGCTTCCTTAGACTAGAGGGGATGGATGCGGAGCTCAGTCAGAGGAGTACACTGAAGTGTATTTGTCCAGCTCAGGCTGCAGCTTCCTGCCAGCCCCTGGCACCGCAGCGTTGGCAAGGCTCATGCTTTGGAAATCGGGTGGCGGTGGATTGCAGTTTCGGTGGCTGGTAATGTTGTGGACAGGTTCTGAGAGTATCCCCTGAACCACATGCTTTATTAGCTCCCTTAACTTAAGGCCTTCCATTTCTTCCCCATGCCAGCTGTCAGTCAGCTACCTTACGAAACGAATCCACCCCCCTTTTTGCGCCGGTTCACCTGGCGTCCCCCTTTTTTTCCCATCATGAAATCGATTTAATAATCTTGCACCCACAGAAACGACATTTCTAGATTTTTTTCTATGTCCAGCCGGATTTTACACTCGGGCCACACCAGCCTGTCCTGATGCAACCTATGACATAGGAAAGCAATTCCCACTCAGAAGCAGATCCCTGAATCCATCAGTTACCTTTGCGCTTTTCTAGGAAAAAAACTTTCCAAACAGGTCGCTCGCTCGCTCTCTCTCACGGCAAAGTCCTCTTTCGAAATAAGCCCAGCGTGGAATCATTTCCATTTTTCACCTGAGAAATCGTATGTGGCCATTTGCCCTGATTTGCGGCTTATATTCTCCTTATGCAGGTTTCTATCGAGTTTTAGGTTTCAGAGTAACACCCGTGTTAGTCTGTATTCGGAAAAAGAACAGGAGGACTTGTGGCACCTTAGAGACTAACCAATTTATTTGAGCATGAGCTTTCGTGAGCTACAGCTCACTTCATGCATCCGTTAGTCTCTAGGGTGCCACCAGTACTCCTTTTCTTTTATCGAGTTTTAGTCATTTATAATTAATTATAAATTGCCGTGCTGAACACATACTGGGGACCCGATCCTTCCCCCAACGAAGTCAGTCCGAGTTTTGCCGTTGACTTCAGTGGCTACAGGATCCTGCCTTGCAATGTTGACCAAAGAGTAATTATGGGCCAGATTCTAGAGACCTTATGGGCTCAAAACTCCCAGCGACTCCGTGAGAGTTTTATCCGATGAAGACCTACAGGATCCACCCTAACAGAACTAAAACTTCTCTTTGATTTGGCTCCTTCTCCCTGACCGTGCTATATTTTCCACTGGGAATTCTCCTGTGTATGTCTTTCACTCAGATGCAAAGAATCTCTCTCCTCCAGCTCAGTATCTTTAGGCAGTTCTGAGGGAAGGAAACTAGGGGAGACTTATTACCGCTAGCATTTGGAGGACTCTCCAGAAGTAAGTTGTGAGGGGGAGGTGTGTGTGAAAATATTGTAACATTTCAGAACCCCTGAAAGCCTGTCTGCTCTCTACCAATTATCACCGGTTCGGGTAGGAGTCGATGCTGTGTTTTGAAAGGGGCCATAGATGTAAAGAAAGCCTAAAGTCTCCTAACGGATCGTATGCAAGTTTCAAGAGCAAGACGCTTCCCCACCTAAATGTGAACTGCTTTCCCGCATAAGCAGACGCCAGATATTTAAATCTTTAATAGAATTTATTTTGTAAATGCAGAGTGTGAGATCATTGCCCGGGGTTTTTTCTGTTGAAGCTCTAATTATTATGTGCATGCATTGAGAACTAAACGCAACAGCTGGAACTCAAAACCTTTCGGGGGGCGCGGGGGAGGGAATAGTCTGGCTGGGGCGAATTTACAAAGATGTGACCCTTTAACAAAACAAAAAAAAAAAAAAAAAAAACCCCGGAGTTTGTTTTCTCAGGATGAAAATGTTTTGAAATGAATGAAGCGTTGTACTCGCTGATTTGCAACACTCGCTCTAAGGCAGCCCACACTGCGCCTAGTTTTCAGTGAAGAGTCGTTAAACAGTAGGATAAAGTTGCCCCTCTTAGCAGGGACGCAATCCAGACTTATTTATGGGCACTGCTTGTTACTTACCGGTGGCACAGGCGATTGGAATCCCCGATACTTTCAATCCCAACGCTCAGACCTGTGCCCTGCGGCCGTCTCTGTGAGCTGCCGTTCTCTAAATGCAGCAGGGTTATGATAAATGGCAGCATGATTGATGAAGATAATATTAATCAGAAAACATTTTAGCCTTGCTAAACAGATGGCAAGAAAAGTGGAGCTTTGCAGTTGTCTCATTCAGACACCTTAGCCTCCCTTTCAGAGGACTTAATCCAATTAGCTTTTCTTCTGAGTTTCAGTTGTTATGTAAAGATCCTAGGGCATTGGAGGAGCAATATAGCTTCATTAAAAAAAAAAAAAAACCCAGCCATGTTTTAATTTCTCTTTATCAGTTTTATTTTCTTGGTTTTTTTTTTTTAAAGTAACGGGGGAAACAACCCAACCAGCCCGTAACTTTTAATGGCAAGGCACTGAAATCACTTAATAATCTTTGCTTTATAAAATAAAATATCATCGGCTTAAATCTAGCCTAGCGAATCGTCAACTAAGATACAGCGTGCGTGGAAATTAGTTATTTTAAAACCAATTCAAAGAAGAAATCGATTGCTACAAATCTGGAAGTATTACAAAATCCCTTCTCCTTTTAATGAGATCTTCCGCATCGTCTTGTGACTTTTTAGGAGGATTTTTGTTTTAAATAGCAACGGGCAAAGCTTCCCCGCCCCTTAATATGCAACAAGTGCTCAGAATCAAAGGCAAAATTTTGCTGGAGTGAAAGTGAAGGATGCATCCACACACCGAGGGAGAGATTCCGTTTCCTTTTTTTTTTTTTTTTGTCCTTCTAAAGAAATACCCTTTAGCTGAGGTGTGGACAGGAGGGAAGAGAGATGATGAAGAAGAAGAGAATCACTTCTTACTAGCAGCAGGGATCCAGGAGCTCCGGTCTGGAAACTAATTGAAATAGACAAGAGGAAGCAGCGCCGGGACTGGTGGTCCTGGCTCCTGATAGCTGAAGCGTTTCCCGATTGTCCAAACAAGGCTGTACAGGGGATTGCTGTGTGGAGGGAACCCAACCCGTGTTCAGGAAGGGAAAAGCCCCCAGATTTCTTCGCTTGGGACAGACGGTTATTAGTGTGTCTGCCCTTCCCCTCCCTTAATCGACGATGAAGATAGGCTGTTGATATTCTTGTAAGGGGACCCCTACTCTTGCTGGCGATGCTGTTTAAAGGCACTTAAGGTTTAGCGTTGGGCAAAGACCCAGAAGTTTGGCGGAGTGAGTGATTTTGTTTTCTTCTGCAAGGCGCTGGAAGTTAACGTGTAAAAATCCAGGCCCTGCAGACGCACCGCTAGCTGGCGGCTCACCCTGCCCTTTGTTTTAGACTTACAAAGGAAGAGCAAGGAGTAGGGGGGATCTTCACAGGGGGGTTGGGTTTTATGGCTATAATCAGAGAGAGCTTTTCCCCCAGGGCTCATCCTGACTCATTAAAACGGACCCCAAACAACCAGTCTAGTACTAGTACCTGTTTGCCCGGAGGAGAAGGAGAGAGACTCATGGCCAGCCCCATCCCACCCCGGCAACCAAGCCCCCGCCTAATCCTACCTCGGCCTCACCTCCACATGCCCTTTACCTCCCCAGTCAAAGGGGGAGACCAACACCCACACGCCCTATGGTGGATTTTCCCCAAATCCCTGCCAGTTCCCC